TTCATGTTGTTGGGTTCACCATTTCCTGTCCCCTCCCATCCCTGCTAGACTGATCCTTGCACCCCACATTTTGGCAGGCGCTTGGGATCAGGTGACCGTGTCCTCCATGCAGACCTGGACCCTGGCTGTTCCCCTCAGCTCTGTGTCTGGTACCCACAACAAAGCCTGGGACGTGGTACGGGTTCAATAAACACTAGAGAAACTGATGAATTTCAGCGCTCGAGAACAGACACCGTTTTTCTCAGCTGTGCTGGGCTGGGAGGCCCTCCGACAGCGCCTGACCCCTAGGAGGTGTTTAAGGAGGTATTGGAAAAGGGGCTGGGGATTTAGCTCAGTGGCATAAGTACCTGCCTTGCAAACAGGCAGCTGTGAGTTTGATCTCCGGTACCGATAAAAATGAAAAAAAGACAAAAAAATTTTTTAAAAAAATAACGTATTGAGGAAATGAATTTGCGAAGAATTAGTCAATTCCCAGAGGGCAGGGCGGAAGTGTGTCCCCTGGCTCCCCAAACCACGTACGGCAGGTGACACCATAGCGCCCGTCCCTGACGTCACAAAGGCCCGGCCATGGCCCTGACCTTGGCGGCCCTGCTGCTCTGGGGCCTGAGCGGCCCCGGGGGCTGGGGCTGTCTGCAGTGCGACCACTTGGTGCTCGCGGCCCTGGCCGAGCTGCGCGCCGTGCTGGTGCCCTCGCACTTCCACTCCCCGCAGCTGCAGGCGCGCGCGCAGGACCTGCTGCTGGGCATGCAGGGGCCGTTCTTCCGCGACTACGCGCTGGGCGCCTTCGTGGGCATGGCGGGTGCGCGGGGCTGGGAGCCGGGCGTCGTGGGGTCCACGTCCCGCCCCGGGGGCAGGCAGGGGGCCTGGAGGAGGGGCGCGCGATGGGAAGGGGAGGGGAAGAGGAGGAGGGGAGGAGGGGGAGGGGAGGGGCACTATGGGGTCACCTGCTGGGGGAGTGGCCGCCGCATGTCCTGCTCTCTCGCCCCAGAGGTGGAGCAGCTGGAAGACGTGGCGTCCTTTCTCCACAACCAAACGCAGCTCTTGCGGGACAGCGATCTGACAGGTAGGGAAAGCGGCTGCTCTCCGGGAACCCTGCACAGAACCCGCGCCTGGCCGCTACCCGGAGGCTGGCACCTTACTTAGAAAATCCACCCTGGCTTACAGAGGTGGGCACGGCAGCGATGTGCCTTCACAGAGGGGGAAGGCGGAGGCTCAGAGAGGTGCGGTGACCTGGCCAGAGTCACACAGCGGGGAGGGCGGAGCTGAGACGGAAACGAGGCCAGTGATAACCTGTGTCCGTTGAGTGTTCAGATGAAAGGAAGAGTCGCAAGTCTGCATTCAAATCAGAAGCTAGAGCAGGCGTGGTGGCACACACCTGTGATCCCAATGCTCAGAAGGCTGAGGCAGGAGGGTCACCGCGAGTTCAAGGCCACCTTAGGCTACATAGTGAGTTCAAGACAAGACCAGCCAGCACTACAGAGCGGCCCTGTCTCAAAAACCCAAAGAAAACTCCCCAACAAACAACAACAACGAACTAATCAATCAAAATGCAGTAGTGATTACGCTTGGTGAGAAAGGCCTGTCAGACGCTGAGTTGGAGGAAGCAGGACCTCTTCCCGCTAGCCATGCTCACAGTGTGAAGGAAACTGTCAGATCATCAGGTGGCTCAGACTGGAGTCAGTCTTGCAGTCCACAGGGATTACAGCTGGGCCACCGGGCCTGGCTGGGGAAATGAACAGGTGCTGCCCCAGAGAGCCTGGAGATGAGAGGGAACGGAACGAGTCTTACACGTCTCCTGACAAAGTCTTAGTGTCTGGACAGAGCAGCACAGCACAGACCTCTTTGAAGGCAAAATCTCCTCAGAAGCAAGGTCTTTCTCACTTCAGTTCTGAGAGAGGGGAGGAAACTGCAGAAGAAAAGCCTGAGAAGCCGGCATGGTGACACATGTCTGTGCTGTCAGTACTTACTTGGCAGGCTGAGGCAGGAGGATCATTGCGAGCTCTGAATTACATAGCTAGACCCTGTCTCAAGATAACTAAATGAAATATTAATTTTTCAAAATGCAATCGATATCATAATACTTATACTGTTTTGGTACTGTCTTTGAAATCTGTGTACATTTTTTCTTTTAGAGACAGGGTCTCATTATGTAGCTCGGGCTGGCCTTGAACCCACTATGTAGCCCAGGCTGGCTTCCAACTCTTGGCAATCCTCCTGCCTCAGCCTCCAGAGTGCTGACATTATAGACACACACCACCACATCCAACCCCAACATGCAGGGTCCATGTTATCCCTGGAACACATGCCCCCTCAGACTAGCCCAGCCCAAGCACCCGAAGACCTCTTGGGCCTAGAGGCTACCATACTGGGCAGTGCTGGCCTAAGGTGGTACATAAAGCCTGGAAGCTGGGCTGGCATCATGAAGGAATAAGCAGAGACACAGAAATGAAGAATCAAGCAGAAATCAAGTCTACTCAGAAGATGAGGGAACCGAGGCCAAGGTGGGTGCTTAGTCCGGGGCTTCAGTGGGTCACAAGGCATCTGTGGGACCTACCGGGCCCCATGTAGGCTGAGGGACCAGAAGTGCTTCCAATTTCAGAATGATTTGGATTTGGATGATTGCCACAGACAACCATTTGAGCATCCCCAATCTGAAATCTGAAATGCCATGAGAAAGCTTTGGATTTCAAATGAAGGACCTCAGCTGTGTCTGCCCATGAGATAGTGAGTCATGGCTGATCTGGATTCTTCCTGGGAAAGCTAGAAGAACTTCTGTTACCCCTCGCTTGCTGGGGACCTCCCTCCAACAAGGAGCTCTTTCTCTCTTCAGAGGGGCCTCTGCTGGAAGAACTGGTGAACTTTAGGGAGGAGGTGATAAAGGAATTCAAGGAAGTTTTAAGAGCCTATGAATTAAAAGGTACGGCACAAATCTCCAAGGGGCACAGGCCCCCGCTCCCCTTCCCCACTGACGCCTTTCTGCCATTTCCCCTCCCAGATTCCTCCCTTGCCCCCTCGCCCTGTGACCCCGCCCTCATCTTTCCCCCATGTTCCTAGCTCTTCTTCCTGGAAATCACTCTCCCCTCTCCCCATTCCTTCCCAATTAAATTCTCAAATTGTTGTCCGACTTCGCTCACCTCTGCTCTTTTTTCTTGCAGCCTGCAATCCCAAAACGTGTCGTGAGTCCTACATTTGTTGTCTCCCCAACTTGTCTGCCCTCGTGTACTGTGTTACCCTGTTCTCCTCAAAATCAGGCCCTACTGCCTCGCACATTCCATGAGGCAGTTCCCTTACCCCAAAGCCATGGTACTGAGTTCACCTTTATGAAAACACTTTATGCATTTGGATACTCAGGAAAGGATAGGGTGATGTATTGCCAAATATATTTCCCCCATCTGGGTGCTTTAGCACAATAATGTCAGTATCTTTCCACTTAAAAGAATTCAATGACTCTTCCAAATAGCAACTCTGGGTCACCCTCCCACCCCTTACCATACCTTCAAAGCTTGCTTCAAAAGGAGATAAAGAATAGGGACATGAGCCAGACATGGTGGCTCACGCCTGTAATCCCAGCACTCGGGAGGCTGAGGCAGGAGGATCGCTGTTTGACACCAGCCTGGGCTACAAAGTGAACTCAAGGCCAGCCTGAACTGCATAGGGAGACCCTGTCTCAAAAAGACAAAAAAAAAAAAAAAAGAACAGGGATTCACACTGGAAGTTATAGGGCCAAACTTGAAGGTGAGGCACCCACTATGGTTACTTTCCATTGGCTAGAACTAGTCACATGGTTTCAGTTTGTTGCAAGGGAGCCTGGGAAACGTTGTCTTCCTGTGTGCACAGGAAGTAGAGCCAGATAAGCATCATGCCAGTCTCTTTCCCTGGGGGCTCAAAAGTAGGAAAAGTGCACACTCAACATTAATAAATGTTTAATTAAGTGCCTACAAGTGGAACATTGGGTCCGAGTACTATTTAGAGTACTCAATTTAATGCTTCAGTAATTATACAAAAATGATTTTTCTTTTTGTCTTTTTGAGACAGGGTCTCACTATGCAGTTCAGGCTGGCCTTGAGTTCACTTTGTAGCGCAGGCTGGTCTGGAACTCGCAATGATCCTCCTGCCTCAGCCTCTCAAGTGCTGGGATTACAGGTGTGAGCCACCACACCCGGCTGACAAAAATTATTTTTCATGGGAATGGTCAGTGCATTGTGTCCAACTTACTCTGCCACACTTTGGGTCCTCCATACTGTAGAAGAACCAAGGGGGACCCCATCTCCTCTTGCCCCTCTCTGACCCACCCCTTGCCAGTTCTCTGGATCAGCCCTCATCCTGCTTCTCCCTCTCCTCTTGTCTAGACTTGCTCAAAGAAGTAGTCTTAGACTGCTCGAATTGCCAGAAAGTCAGTCCCAAATGTATCAAAGAAAAGTACTGCTTCGGTAAGCTTCAGGGGAAGGGGAAGCCATGGGACAGGTGTCCGAGGGGTGGAGACATGGCTTTGGAGTAGCCTGGAATTCTGCCCTTGCCATTTGCTTATGGTGTGGCCCGAAAGTAGCTTCCACATTCTGAAATTCACCGTCATTTCCGTTAAGTGGGAGGGACCTGCTAGAACTTAAGGACGCTCCTCACACCAGAATGGCAAGTGCTGGGAAAGAGTTTAATCCTAGGCATTGCCATTCCTAGGAAGCCCAGAAAGATACGCTAAATTCACTGATTGATTCATTCATTCAGGGAATGCTCAGGCACACGTGATGTGTCCTTCTGACAGAGAGAGCAGCACCGTGAATCCATGTTTATCCATCCGGACTAACACAGTAGTCACACTGGACTGCTGCACGTGCTGTCCCTTCTCTCTGTCACACCTGCCCCCTCCCTCGTCTCATCAGCACTCAGTCATCTGTCCGGGGGGCTTCTCCTATCACAATCTGTAAGAGGCTCTTTCCACCAAACTGTGTTCACTGTCTTCCATCTTGGCCTAAACTATTTTATTCTTTGCCATAGTACTTTTTCTGTCTTTTTGAGACAGGGTCTCACTATGCAGTTCAGGCTGGCCTTGAGCTCACTTTGTAACCCAAGCTGGTCCTGAACTCACAATGATTCTCCTGCTTTAGCCTCCCGAGTGCTGGGATTACAGGTGTGTGCCACTGCGCCTGGCTTTGCCGTAGTATTTTAAACAAGATCGCAGACGTCACGCACACCCAGCTTTCAGTTTAGTTTGAAATCTAAGTTTCTCCCTCCGTTTTCCCCTTCCACGACTCTGGCTAGCTGGAAAGCAGCAGTATGTCCTAGAGAATGTCCTGTGTTCAGACTGATCTGTCTCTTCTGGATGGAGTTTAGTAAATGTTTTCAGCATCCAGTAGTGCCCTAACCAGGGTGGTGGGCTCAGCAGAATGGGAGACAGGTGTCTGATGCAGCCACCTTTTCATGGGGCGAGGGTTAGACTGGATGCCTCCCCTCAGCGGTGGCTCCATGATGTAAGGCTGCTCTGTGGATTGCAGGATGGCTAGTTCCGTGCCTGGCCTTGACCCGTCAGGTCCCAGGACTGACGTGGTCATCAGAAATGCTCTGTGCATTTCTGAGTGTCTCAGGGCGGGGGAGTGCCTGTGACTGAGGACCACTGGATTTGATAGTAATAGGCCAGATGTGGACAACTAAATCGACTAATTCCAGAGAGCAAAAGATACCCTAGGAAAACGGGACCAAGTGACTTCATAGAAAACGTCAGGCAGCAGTTGAGAGCATCCTCTCTGAAGAGAGGACGTGTGTGATCTGCAGGAAATGAGCCACAGACAGGAGCAGTGAATGACAAAAGGGACAGCTTTGCAAAGATTTAATATGAGAAGGCAAAAAGGAGGAGCCGCGTGGCCAGGGGAGGGTGAATGCACGGAGAGCGAAGGGGTGAAGGAGAGCGGGGATGGCGCAGCTACAGCGTGGGCCAGGGCACAGGGCACAGGGCACAGGGCACAGGGCACAGGCCGACCCTTGAGAGCCGGGTGGGCCTGGAGACCCGAGCCTTGCAGCAGCCTGGCGCCTAGCTCGGAGGAGACCTGCGCTTCTGTGTGTCGCTGGCGCCCTCTGGAGTGTGAGGAGGTGCAGGGACACTGCTGGGATTACTCTGAGAAGAGCGGAGGCCAGGGCTGGACCAAGGGGCTCGCCACAGAGGTGGGCTGGATTCCGCTCGTGGCCGGGACGCTTTGCTGATATAAGGACAGTACTGGGGACAGAGGAGAGCGGAAGGTGCAGGATGCAGCTCCCATGGTCCCCTTCAGGGTGGACGGGTTGGAGCGAGGCTAAGGACGGGTGGTGACTTGAGCCGGGCTGTCCCCCTCCTCCCGCAGTGAACAGGCAGCCCCGCGTGGAGTTCCGGATGACTGGCGGTTACCTGAAGACCCAGCCCCTAGTGGGCATCTGCTTTGTCGTGTTACTGGCTCTGTTTTTCTTCTTCGTCATGGTGATCTCGTGAGTCATTCCTGCCCCTTCCTGAGTCCCCCAGTGCCCCCTGGCGTCCCTGAAAACTGGCACCTCCCAGATGGGTCACTGCGTCCCCCCCACACCCCAGTCCTCTGTGTGTTCCTCCCTCCCTCCCTCCCCGCCTCCCTCAGTCCCCTGTCTTTCTCATCTATCACTTTCTTTTTCCTCTCTTCTTCCTCTCACCCCAGTCATTTCCCAAAATCCTCAGCAATCTTCCCTGCTTCTATGAAAATACTACAAGTTAAGGTTTGTAAGTGTGCTGGCATAAAAACTGTCACTGCAGTTGGTTCTCACGTTTCTAGATTCTTGGCTCTTCTCTCTCCCTTCTCTCGGGCGGCTTGTGACCCTCAGCCCCTTTCCTGCCCTCTGTTTCTCTCAGTCTCCCTGCCTCCTCTTCCTCCTCCTCCTCTCACATCAGCCTCCTTTCCCTAAGACACCGGTTTGTGGGCCTTCAGAGAGGAGATCACCCCACACCTTCTCTCTGACTGACGGGAGCACTCAATCAGTGGTGACCCTTAGGGCCTGGCACAAGGTGAGCCCTTGAGGGGTGTCAGCTCCTAGCAGGGGCTTTTTCATTGTTTCTTCCATCTCTGACTCTCTCCCTATTTCTTTGTTCCTGCATAGCTGTTTCCTAGGACTGCTGCAACCAGTGGCCATGTCTGAGGGGCTAAAAGCAACAGACATTTATTCTTTGGATTCTGGAGGCCAGAAGTCCAAAGTCAGGCCGCTGGCAGAGGTGGTTCTTTCTGGGACTGCTGGCCTCCTTGGCACCCTTCGGCTCTGACTTCTGCAGTCTCTGCCTCTGCCCTCCCCTCTGTGTGTGTCCCCAGCTCCCTCTCTTTGCTCTCGGAAAGCAGACTTTAGATGTGTGGTTCAGCCTATGTCCAAGATGATTGTGTCTCACCTTATTTTAATTGCATCCGCAAAGACCTTATTTCCACATGCTCACACTCACAGGTACTGGAAGTTGGGACAGGAATGTATCAATTGGAAGGCACACGGTTTACCCTGCTGAGCTTGCTTCTATTTCCCACTTCCTTTTATCTTTGAATCTATGTTCCTCTGTTCCCACAGTGTATACTCACTCCAATTCCCAACTTTCCTTTTCCTCCCTCATGTACCTATAGATTGCGTGAGAACCCCAGGAATCTGCCCAGAAACCCATGATGTCACTGGCAAAGCCAAATCAGGCCAATGCTGGAGGGAACTTTGAGGGCAGGTCATTCGCCTCAAATTTCCTTTCAAAACTCCAGGTTGATTTGTTTTTTTCTTTGTTTGTTTGTTTTCTTCTCTGTCCAGGGCTTTTACATACAGAAAAAACCGAAAACTTCTGCTGCACTAGGGTTGTGCTTTTGAAGTTTGTAAGGGAAAAAGAAAAGAAGTTTAATAAAATCTGTGATAAATTTTTCAATGTCTCTGTTGGTTTCCTGGGGTCCATCCCTTCAACTGATGTCTAGTTGTTTTTCTAACAACCAGATGCTCCTCAGTGGTTCAGACCAGCTCGCATTCATCTGCAGACACCAATTTTCCTAATTTAAGATTGAAATCATTCAGATCTTTGAGTCTTTTCCTGGGAGTCGTTGCTACTTGCAGGTTGTGGGGGAGGAAAACAAGAAGCCAACAAGAAGCCAAGGCCTCTCTGTGAGTCGGTGCCATGTGGGGAGAACCAGATGCCAGCCCCTTCCGGCATGTGGGTTGGGAGACAAGAAGAGCCAACCCCACCTCCCACCCCCACCAAAAGCAACTGGCTGATCCTGAAAAACACAGGCTGTGATGATAGCTATTGAGGTAAAATACAATGTAATGCTTGTAGTTTTTAGTGTTTCACTGACTTTGCAGGTCTAAAGCCAATAGTCTGATCATCTGTTCAGAGGATAACAACACAGTGTAGCTCCTTCTGAAGGTGGCAGCCATTGTTAATTCCCTATTATCTTGTTTTGAAGTCCTGTATCACTTGTTTTGTTTGGTTGGGTTTTATTCTGTTTTGTCATTTGATTTTATTACACATGATAGTATGGGCAGCTATTTCAAAGATAATAAGATACATTATAGTAGCCATTTTGGATTTACTCTTACCTTATTTTGAAGTCCTTTATTGCATTCGTTGTTGTGTTTTTATTAGTTCTGTTCTTTCTGTTTGATTTTTACTATATCTGAAGTTATGGGCAGCTATTTTGAAGACGAGGCATTATGGTAGCTATTGTTGATTTCCTATTATCTTGTTTTGAAGTCCTGTAATCACACTTTTATTTTACTTGGTTTTATTCTTTTTAAAATGAAAATTACAAAAAAAATCATTTAGATCTTCAAAAGAGCAGGATGGCTGGGGATTTAGCTCAGCAGTGTAAGTGCCTGCCTTGCAAGCACACAGTCATGAGTTCAAGCCCGGTACCAAAAAAAAAAAAAAAAAGCAGGATGACCTTTCATAAAGGTTTGAAGGGGCAGTCACTCCTGTTGTGGGCAGAAATGGCCTAAAAGAAAAAGAAGGAATGCAGTGGGCCCACAAGGATGATTAAACAGAAGAGGAGTTGTGACCTGTGTGTACCTGTGTGTGTGTATGTGTTTCCTTTCTCTAACACTTAATTTTCGTGTGTACTTAAATAGGTTTTGATATATTTTCTTTCTTTCTTTCTTTCTTTTCTTTCTTTTTTTTTTTTTTGTGTGTGTGTGTGTGTGTGTGTGTGTGTGTGTGTGTGTGTGTGTGTTTTGAGACGGGTTCTTGCTACGCAGTTCAGGCTGGCCTTGAGCTCACTTTGTAAACCAGGCTAGTCTCGAACTCGCAAGGATCCTCCCACCTCAGCCTCCCTAGTGCTGGGATTACAGGCTTGAACCACATGCCTGGCTTCAATTTTAATATATTTTCAAGTAAATAGAAATTTTGCTACTCAATAAACCAAAATAGGGACCACATAGATTTGGATATCATGGGATCCCTCTATTTTTCAACTTGCCAGCAGAGCTATCCCTGTAGAATTGAGGATTCCGATGAGGAGGAATGCGTGAGGAGATGAACAGGGAGAAGGAAAAGCAGAATTTAGAAGACTTAGTGCCTAGCACAGTGCCGGCTTAAGACACTCAGTAAATGGGAGAAGGGCTACAAAAACGATTTATACATAGAGGGTTTACACGCCAGGGGAAAAGAATTTACCAGTGGCTGGAATTAAGACCATAAATACCTTATGGGTCCAGGTAGGTAAAGTGAACAACTTTTAAGTTTTCATTCATAATGATAGGAATTGAAAAAAAAATTCTCAGTGTCATCGTACCGTGGTCGTCACGAGAGCCTTAGCGTTTTCAGATCTTCGCATTTTTCAAGAGAACACAGACATTCAGACTTGTTTGTATGTGAAATTTCTCCATAACTAATGTTGGCTGCTATCGTACTTCAAAGCACGCCTTGCTATCTCTGAGATGGTGGGGAAACTCTTGGGACTGCGTGTGGTCACAGATTTTATATTTGCGAGAGATTCACAAAGTTTTAAGTATTGATGGATTCCCTAATTCCCTATATTTTGCACAATTCTGGGCCCCAGACGCCAGCGTCTCCCTAGAGACTGTCAAGTGTTATGTAGACACGGCTTGCGATTGGCTAAAACCTAGACGTGTCTTACCTGTTGCCAAGATACCAGTTTTTGTACATGCGCCGTCGCGTGTGCCTGGAGTTCGGGGCGGTTTTAGAAGAGCAGGCTGGCTCCGGCCCAGAGAACTCTGGGAATAGTAGTTTCTGGAGTTGGCCTGCGCAGGCGCGCTTCCCCACGCGGCCATGGCAGAATGCGCACATTCTCCCTTTGCAGTCCCTTCCTTTCTGTAATATCATAAAAGACGTAAGGCGCCAAAGTATAGACTTCCTCATCTCTGACCCTGTACTGCTTCCTCTTTCCTTCTACCTGTAGTCTCCAGCGGCCCAGACCCGAGCCCTCGCCAAGGATGATTGCCGCTGGTTGCCACGGCGACGGTCCTTTGGGTGCGTTTGGCGCCATCGTGACGTCAAACGGGGGCGTGGCCACTGTGGACTCAACGGAGATGCTTAGCGCTGCTCAGTCTGAAGCCAGTTCTCATCTCGCAAAGAAGAGAGCAAATGGTACATTTTGTTTCGGTAACTGCTCAGTGGTGTTTTTATTTGTCTTTAGTATCTTCATACGATTGGTCCTTGGCTTCGTGGGAATGGCTTGGGCGAAATACATCGGAAACGGACAATTATGTTGTGTATAAATTATAGTGTGATGAGAGCTCCCGATGAGCGCAGGCTGGTTCGGGGCGACAGACACTTATTAAAGAATTACAACACTGCAGTTATTACCTTATCAGCGCCGGCCCCTGGGGTGTTCCTGTGGGAACCCAGGGAGGAGGTCGAAACTTCCATCTGGGCTGGCTGGGAATGGGAAAAAAAATTTCAGAAGGGAAAGGCTGAAGCAAAGTAGTTGTTTTCCACAGGAAGTAGTGGAGGAAGGGCAGAGGGAACTGCAGAGTTAGACGGTGGGCACGATTGTTTTTGGTAATGGCAAAGACATCAATGGTATTTTCTGTCTGCTGTGTACTATTGTAGTGGCTTTACTTACATTGGTCTATTCAAATCTCATAACCTGATGAAGAGGGTATTATCCCATATAGAATGAAGAAACAGGCACAGAGCAGTCAGGGAGTAAGAAGGATTAAGGATAATGCTATGCTGCCCTTGTTATAGGGCCCTTGAGTTAATGAGTACTACATCCGCAAAGCAAATGATTGATTTGCATTCAACATCGAAGTGATGCCTCAGGAAGACCTTCAGAGATGGTCCTAATACATCATATAGACCAGTTAATGCTACAGTAACTAACACTTCCTAGGCCAGGCGTGGTGGCACATGCCTGTAAACCCAGTACTTGCGAGGCTGAGTCAGGAGGATTGCCTCAGACAATGCCTGGGCTACATATTGAGCTCAAGGCCAACTTGGACTCTGTAAGGAGACCCTGTCTCAAAAATACTTCCTAACCTTCCTCAATAGGGACTGGTTGTTTCCACATACAATGATGCTCTGGGGATGACTCACATTAAGTCCACTGTGTACTTTATTATTATTGCATTGGAATAATGTGACCGGCGCAGCTCCCCAATGAGACAGGAGACGTTTTTGTGGGCGACAGTTAACTGCTGTTTTATTTATGTGGGCTCTGGTTTATATATTTGGCCGTGACCAATCACAGGCTGTCACGATGAAGCAGGGCGGGAATGGGACGCAGGCTCTGGCTACTATATCCAGCTGTGGCCAATCAGGAGTTGTCACAGAGTACGGAGTGAGCACAAGGTGCGCACGGGTTGGCTAATTTAAAGAGGGACGTAGCGCATCGCGGAAGCTGGCGTGGTCCTTAGTCCCGGGTGGGGTATGGTATGTTGAGCGCCTGCGCCCAACATCTCCCCCTTTTTTTATAACTGACGCAGGGTCTCTATAGGTCGGTGCCCCTCGTGAGGCGTCACGCTGTAGTCATGACAGTGTCTCACTATTTGTTGGTGTTCTTTTGGAGGGGGCGGGAGTATTGTTTTATGAGCCCAACCTGTATGCTCGCCGACATGGGGACCGGGGTGTCTCCTGGCCAAGGACAACACCCCCTGTGATGTTTTGTTTTACACTTGTGTCACAGCATGGTGAGCCATGCTGCCGGGCTTTGACCAGATTTTATGATTAGCAATGTTTGTTTGATATTTTGTCTCTATTTTTTTTGTCTGCGAATCTGACAGAGCAGAAGTAGACTGTTGAATGTGGCAAGTGTAGTCATGGTAGCCAGAGCCCCTATTTTTGTCTATTCTTTTATGAAAGCCAATTGGAGAGTTGGCCCGAGCTGGATCACAGGAAACTCGTCTGGGTCTGTCATAACTGGAATCGGTACGAACTGGAGTACCTGTATAACAACAGCTGAAAGTGTACTGTTATCCCAACATTGTAACATATAACAGGTTGCGGTGGAGCAATTTAGAAAAGTCATATTTGTGGTGTTTATGGTGGCCAGGGAGAATCCCCATAATATCTCTTGGGAGTATCCATCTAGGGGGTTACAAGCGGTAAACTGGAGGACCCTTGTCTAGATAGGGGTGCAGAAGGATCTACGGGGCCTCTGAGCTGGCGCGCCCTTAATCGTGGCGGGCTCGACTTGGGACCCCTGTAAGATGCGGGTCGGGAGGAAGAGCCGTAGGTCTTATACGGGGCGGCCCTGGGATCCCGTACTCGCTTTTATTGACCCATTTACTCTGAGAAATCTTGTGTTGTAGCTTATTTATGGCCTCAGAGTAGGGCCCTCTCGACTGCGTGTGTGTGACTTTCCCTCTTTTGGTGGTGTCTGCATCCGCCATTTTGTATATATATATTTTTTCCCCCTCATTATCTGACGAGTCCTCTGTTTCTGGGTTGGGTGGGGTCACCTCGCCTGCGGCACTGGACTCGTGAGATTGCTCGCGGGAGGATTCTGCCTGATGGTAACCAAGCGCCATGGCGCCAGCCCTTATATGGTCACGACAAGAGGCGTCTGTGAGGCAGCTCCTCACTACTGCCCAAAGGGGTCTGACTCCTGGCTCCAGGAGGCCATTTTCTGCTGCAAAGTCAAGATCTCTCCCTAATTTATCCCAGCTGGGGATGGTAACGGACCCCGTGGGACCAAACCAAGGTGCTACCTTATCGACCTGATAGAGGAAGTTTTGAATTTGTTTTTGTTTTATTTGTAATCTCTTTTCTCTCAGTAAGTCGCCCAAAGCGACCGACAGCCGCTGAGTAGCGGTGTTACCCATGTTAACCGGAATTTTAAGAGTTTCTTTTTATTTATTTATTTTTCTTTTTTCCTTTTTCCTTTTTTTTTTTTTTTTAACAGGGACAGCTTAGTCCCCGTGTCCCTTTACGGCGCCCCCAAAACCTGCCTCTTTACGGCACCGGGAACTCTCTTTACGAGTTCCTCGACCCTTGTGACGCGTCCGCCCAAGGTTGTCCGATAGCCCCCGCCATCCAGCCCGGCAGCCCCCGCTACCAACGTTGAGCAGTTTAACCTGTCAGCCCCCGCCCGCCGAGTAGCCCCCGCTATCGGCGCTTGACGGTTTTACCTGTTAACATCTCTGTTCCATCGGAGAGAGAGGTTTCTTTCCCGTACTGTCGGAGAGAGGGTCTCATCACTCCCCGTACGGGCCACCAGTTGACCGGCGCAGCTCCCCAATGAGACAGGAGACGCTCTTGTGGGCAACAGTTAACTGCTGCTTTATTTACGCGGGCTCTGGTTTATATATTTGGCCGTGACCAATCACAGGCTGCCACGAGGAAGCAGGGCGGGAATGGGACGCAGGCTCTGGCTACTATATCCAGCTGTGGCCAATCAAGAGTTGCCACAGAGTACGGAGTGAGCACGAGGTGCGCACGGGTTGGCTAATTTAAAGAGGGATGTAGCGCATCGCAGAAGCTGGCGTGGTCCTTAGTCCCGGGTGGGGTATGGTATGTTGAGCGCTTGCGCCCAACAATAATGAAACAGTTACATAGCTGCATAATGCAGAATTAGTGGGAGCCCTGAGCTTGTTTTCCTCAGTTACATGGTTGATGGGAGACAGTATCACACAAAGTGTGTCATTCATCTCCTGGGTACTCTGTAATCTTGTTGAGGTTGCTGTCCTTACAGAAAACCCTGCTTTCACAAAAATAGAATGTTAGAAATGAAAGCAAGAGTGATGCTCAAATTCTTGAAAGCTTGGGAGGTTAAGTGAGTGATAGAGAGCAGCTGTAAACACATAAAATTTCACCTGCTTACCCTCTGCACACTACCTGTGTGGTCCAGTTCCTAACAGGACCGTGTCCCTGGGGTTGGGGATCCCCAGAGGACAGCAGTGAAGATACTTCTGCCACAAATTAGATAAGCCTTAGCTTCAGAACACCATCCCACAGAACAGCCCCTGTTTGGAGCACTCCGGTAGTAAGGGCACCGGGGAAGGGACAAGATGAACCTGACAGTAGTAAAAGGCAGTGGTTTTCCATGTGAGCTGGACCTGGACTCCGATCCTGTTTCTGTCTCTTGGGCCTTGGACAGGGTTCATGAAGCCTCTGCCTGAGTGTCCTTGTGTGTAAAGCAGAGAGAGAGAGAAATGGTGCCTTCATAGAGTGTCTGTGCCAGGTAAACAAGCTAATAAAGCTTCCTGCATGTCACACCAGCAAGTGGCAGCTGTCGTTTTCTCATTTTGGCAGTGCCTTTGTGCCTACGCACACATATGGCTTATATCTTCACAACCATGAAAGATACATAACTGGCATTTTTGTTTTTTAATGTGCTTTTGTAAGTATTTCCACATATTATCATGCCGTGATTATTACATGGCTCAGTGACATTTCCCAGGCAGGATGTATTGTTTATTCAGTAGATGGCCTGATGTTTTGAGTCAGAAGTTATTTTCAGCTGGAGTGATGCTGCATACCTGTAATCCCAGCACCGGGGGAGACTGAGGCAAAAGGATGACAGGTTCAAGGCCTGACAAAGCAACTTAGCAAGACCCTGCCTCAGAACTTTAAAAGGGCTAGAGGTGTAGCTCCGTGGTAGGTTGCCCCTGGGTTTGTAAAGCTGCAATTGGATCTGACTCTCCCAGCCCCAACCTGCTTCTCAAAGAGGCTGTCCTCTCAGCAGGAACTCAGCTCAGCACTGAGGCGGTCACCTCAGAACAAGCTCAGGATGTGACAATGGAGATAAAATAGGACAAAGAATTTTGCAGGTCCAGGGACATCAGAAGACACCCAAAGGTTTACATCAGATGCTTCAAGGACTTTGCCCATTGAGGTGCAAGACTGTCAGAGAATTTTTTCCCCCTTTTTTTGGTACTGGGAATCAAACCTAGGACCTTGCACTTACCAGGCAGGCACTTGTGCCAATGAACTATATCCCCGGCTCCTGCCAGAGAACTTTGATCACAGATGTTTATTAAAATCTTCCCACCTAGTGTCCTCTGCCTTCTTTCCATCCCTATAAAAGGGATGCACTTCTTTCTTTCCTACAGAAGATCTTTTCGCTTTATGGCTGCCTGCACCCAGGCACAATAAATTCCATACCATGTGGCTTTTACACAAGCCTGGTGGTCTCTGCTTGTGTC